CTTAGATAAGCTTCCAGTGTCTGAGTATCATTTATTTTGAAAATGTAAGGAGCAATTTTTTCACCTTGTTCTTTCTTTAAATTACTTCTGATAGTACTATATATAATTCTTGGGTTCCATGGTAGACCTAATGTAAATTAACTTCATATTAACTATTTTTGTCTAGGAGTAATTCTAATATTAAGAAGATAACAAATGGAAGATTTTAATAATCACATTACTAAATTTTGATCCCTGAAATATTTGATAATACCAATGTTCACTTTGCCTGGTTTTGTTGCAGCATGCCCCATCAGAAAATCTCTCTATATATGCCTTATATATCTCTCTATAATGAACTGATGATCATATATCACATGACATTGATTATCTTTTACATTTTAATATTGATTTAATAAATTTGCATTTTGATATTAATATTAATATTCAGTATTTAGTATATCTGCATCTGAACACATCACAATTGATGATACTGAAAAGGATCATGAAATAGATATAGATGAACAAGAAATAATTTTAATGATTACTCCAAATGAGTAAAATCAAGAGGAGGAGGAAGAAGAAGAAGCCATTGAAGAATCTCCACCTGTTTCAAATAAAGAAGCTTATTAGCAATAGAAAAATTAAACACATACATTGACCAACAATCTGAAAAGTTGCAACTAAGCAACAATGAAATTAAACCATTAAAAAAAATAGGATTTGATTCCAATCAACAATCAACATTAGATACCTTTTTTAACTAATTTGTAATTTTTGCATTTTAAATAAAGTTCATCCACGTGATGATCTACAAATTTACTATAACAGTCGCAGGACATTGCGGATCTACAGGGGGTCAAGTGTCACTCACTAATAAAATTTTTTTGATCAACATGGAATTTTATATGAAAAAATGAAGAAAAAAATCACGCTTTCATACACAAACTTGCCCGATTTAATCAAATTATTACTTGAATCATGAAAATAACAAATATATGAAAAAACCTTTATTTTATTAAAAGGCGGGTGATGCAATTAGTACTATGCGTGACGCATTGACGCAGACGCAAGATGCAATTCATGCTATTGAAAACATTGATATTACATTCAAAAAATGCTATAAATAACACTGCATTCAAAAATAATATGAACTTTATGATTTCTACCAATTTGAGGAATTTGAGGAATTTTTTAATATTTTGGATGATAATTTTGAAAATTACATAATATGAATGTAACACATCCGAAGGTTCTTTCATATTAAACAATGATTCATATTAGACAATAACTTTTCCAATTTCTGAAATAGAAAGTTATAATTATGGGCAAACTCATCAAAAAAAAATTTTTTTTATTAATATGCAAGAAAAGGTTTATATTTTAATTAATTCACAGAAATTAATTACTGTAATAAATTAATAGTTGAAATGATAATAGTAAAAAAAAATTATAGATTTTAACACTTTTACAAAATTTGAAAATGTCACATATACATGCATCACATTAATAAATTATGAGTTGCGTCTTGCGTCATGAATTGCATCTTGCGTCAATGCGTCAAATCCATGATGGGTGCAATGCTCGATTTTTTGGTTTTTGAATTGCGTCTGATGCAATTCGATAATTTTGACAACATGTATAATCATGATGTTTTCTTTTTCCAACATTTATTATTTTCCTTTCTTCATGGTAAATTTCATAAGTAATCCTTTCTTTTCTTAGATAATCTTCCAGTGTCTGAGTATCATTTATTTTGAAAATATAAGGTGCAATCTTTTCCCCTTGTTCCTTTTTTAAAATACTTCTAATGGTACTATAATTCTTGGGTTCCATAGTAGATCTGATATAAATGAGTTTCATATTAACTATTTTTACATAGGGATAGTTCTATATATCACTTAAGATAACAAATGGAAGATTTTAATAATCACATTACTAAATTTTGATCCCTGAAATATTTGATAATACCAATGTTCACTTTGCCTGGTTTTGTTGCAGCATGCCCCATGTATAAAATAAACAAACACATTTTAATTATTTATGAAATTTTTGGATAGTTGTTGGAGAGGCAAGGCCATTGTGAAATGTTTCATGATCCTTTCTAATGATTAATTGTTTTAATTAGTTATAGACTCTTTTAAATTTGCTATGTTTCTTGGATGCCCCAAGAAGTATAATTGTAAATATTTCTTGCATATATATATTTTCTTTTTAGAGAATGTATCCTACTTGGTCAGATAGGGGAAATAATAGCTAAGGAAGGCAATCACCAAGAACTGTTATCAGGATAGAGGTTAGCTCTAATGAGTGATAAGGAGGAAGTTAAAAACTCAGAAACATGCTCGTAATATAATCCTACATATAAAATTTTATCACTGTTTTTTTTTACAATTATTTTAAACAATAAAGTTCCTATTGTATGTTTTACTCAACCTTTTACTTGGCTTTTTCCATGGCAGTGAATTTTTTGGGAAAATAGAAAGTTTTTCAAAAACTGTGTAAACAATGACTAATTTTACATTGAGAGAATTTTACATACAAAAAAAATAATTTTTCATGATGAATTGATTATTTGATTTAATTAATATAAAGTAATTGAATGAAATATATATAAGTAACTTGCTATTATAACAATGAGTATTATAATAATAATCTGAAACAAACATCATCATTGTTAGTAAAGTGTTATCTTCAAATATATATAGTTAAAGAATTTGTCATCATCAAAATTATATTAAGCTGAACCAATGATGATGAAAATGCCTAAACTTGGCCATTCAGAATACTTGTTGTAGTACTGGTTTCGTTTATTTGTTCATTCATTCATTCTTATGACCCAATTTAATTCAAGTAAATTTTTAGAGAATATCTATTTCTAGGTCATAAAAATATATTGAGATAAATCTAATTTCATCTAACATATGTGTTATATTTTTCAAATTTTGTCTTTTAAATTGAAATTAATAAGTTTGTGCTTCTGGTACTTAGGGATGGGTAAAATGCAAAGTTTTAGTTTATTGTGTGCATAGTCAATTATATTATAAAAAAAAAAGAAAATTTCAAGGAATTTTTTTTCAGTACATTTAAACTTCCCCAATTTGATTGAGAGGTATCACTTGCTAATATGAAAATGATATTTAATTAGATTCAGTCTACCAATTTATAAATAAAAACCAGCCATTGTCCATGTGGTTTTTCTTTAAAAGTTGGTCAATGGATTATTGCTGATCATTAAATTTAAATCGAATCGAATCGAATTTGAGAGTGATTTGATTTGATTTGATTTGAATTCAAAAGAACAGGATTCGATTTGATTCGTGACTCGATTCAAATTGATTCAAATCAAACCGGATTCCTAAATTTTTTTAATGTCATATTAAATTTATATTACACAGTGAATCTCAATTAGTGTGTGCCTCCATTTAATGAATACTAATGGATTGAGGTCTAAGATATGATATTTATTCGAATTTTTAATAATTACGGATTTCTTGATATTAATATTAATATTAATGGTCGTGTGACCTATATTATTAATAATGAGTAAAAAAGTAACGATTTACAGTTGTTAAGTATTAATATTACCGACTTCAATTTCTTCAACAAGATTGCTCCAGGTAAAATTTTTTTTTTTGAATTTACAATATTTATACTATATAAATAAATATAAAATAAAAAATATTTTTGTAAATAAAATTATAAAATATACATTAA